GGGCCTTGGCATGTGCTCTGACCAGCCGGCCACCTTGGGAAGCCACTCGCTTCCCTCTTCGGCCTCAGTTTCCTCACCTGTATAGGTCCCTCCACGGTGGGTGTTTCTCTCTGGGGTGCCTACTGCCTCCCCGGGTGGGGTGGCCTCTGTGGCAGGTGGGTGGGTGGTGGCTGTTGTCTGCTGTGTGGTTCCTGAGACCACCTCCTCACAGCCTCACGGGCCCCCGCTTCTGTCTGGTGTCTGCCGTGAGCAGGTCCTGCTGGGGCCTGCCCGGCTCTGGGTGTCCCAGCCCCTGGTCCTTCCCCGCGGAGGTCAGCCATGTGGCCCTGGCGCCTCTGCCGGGGCTGCCGCCTCGCCGTGTGAGGGGACCTGCAGGTCAGGGCCCGTTGTCCCTCACTTTGGACCCAGGTGCCCTGAGTGGGGTCAGCCGTGCGCTCGGCTGCTGGCTCGGTGCTGGTGGTCTCTGTCTTGGCCGCGTCTTGGGCCCCAGTCCAACTGCACACCCATTAGTGACTTGAAAGTTGACCTAAATTGCATGGAGGTAGGACCATCTCTGCTAATTGCCATCACGGGACCGGTCCTTGGTGTCCTGAGTGACTCATAGCACATCCCTTAAGTGGCACATGGCACTGACTGCCACACGAGCAGTCTTGGACGCTTGTTTCCTGGTAGTGCCCTGGGCGGCGTCCAGCCCTGCTACCACTGGTGGCACTGCAATCGATCGCTGTGTCCCCAGCCCATGTGGGCAGCTCCCAGGAGCAGGAGCAGAGCTGGGCCCACACCTGGGTTCCTACCTGCAGCGCATGCAGGGGCAGCACCTTCCTCTCGGAGCCAGGCAGGGCTGCTGGACCCAAGTGCACACTTGTCCTGGAGCTAGTCCTTGCGAGTGCCTCCTGCCCAGCACCTGGACTGCAGGTCACCAACGACTTGCGTATTGTGCCCCAACAAGCAGGAGCATTCTGGAACTGCCAAGGCAGTGTGAAGGCTGGAGGGGGCTCCTAGACGCGCCAGGCCCCACTGCCCTCACTGGTTCCCTGGTGCCCCCGGTACAGCTGTGCTGCCATCAGGAGCCCCAGTCCATCTCCAGCCCCGCAGCCTCCGCTTCTCCCCCGTCTGACATTTGGGGCAGCCTGCTTTCCTCCTGGTCTTGCTCTCTGCTCCTCAGTGCCCTCCAGTCCCTGACTCCATCTCTGAAGAACTCACATGGCTTGCGGCCAGCCAGGCGTGGCAGCTCTGTCTCTGAGGCTGCTTCAGGTGCCCTCTTACGCTGCAGCATCTGAGCCAGCCTGCAGAGACCCAGCCCATGCACTCTGGAACCCAAGCATTTTGTCCCCATCTGGAGCTTGCGGGATGCCAGAGGGACTCCTGGGAAGGGAGGATGGCTGTCCATTCTGCACACCCAAAATACAGCCCAGCACTGTGCTGGACACCGACTCGGACGGCCCAGCACAGGATGGGGTCCTTGGGGGCCTGCTCCCAGTGAAGCCCCCCTCAGAGCCACCATTCCACCCGAGAAAAGAGGGGCAGCACTGGTGGATGACAGCACTGTGCAGGTAGGGGACAAGAGGGACAGCCCTGTAAGGCAGGGGCAGCCGCTGGCAGCATGGGCTGGAGGACCAGATCAGAGGAGGGGTGGGCACAGGGAAGGGAACGCCAGCCACAGTCCCAGGGAATAACAGGCCAGTCCGCAGCTGCAGCGTCATACTGGGGAGAATGATGCTGGGCCCCACACAAGTTGCTGTGCACAGTGGTCCTGCCACCACCACCTGAGTCTGCAGCAAAACTGCTGGGAACCAGCACGACCGGCCCTCCTGGTCAGTCTTCGTTCTGTTTGCTTTCTAGTCCAGCCAGGATTTTCTGAGAATGGCTTTGCTGCAACACCTCTCACTGCCACCCCGAGCTTTTCTCAGTCCTCCCCAGAGTCAGAAGCTACAGGTGGTGACCATCTTCCCTCTTTGTGGCAGTTCAGAAGCACTGGCCTGTCCTTGTGGCATGTGGGGTCATTGAACTTGCTAGGAGCAGTTTGCACCAGGGTGTGGGGACACAGTGGCTGGGCCTGAGACTAGATGCAGGTGACAGAGCCTGGGGGGAAGACAGGCCCCTTGAGTCCTGCCCTTCCTGGAGAGGACATTGGCTCCTTAGCAGGGCTGCGCCTGGCAGAAAGCTGGCACACGGGCCCAGCATTTGGGCCAAGGTGAAGGCAGAGCTGCCCGTGAGACCACCAGGACTGCAGGTCCCTCATGCCCTGGGGCTCCCAGAGGCACCAGCCTCTCCCAGCAATTGCACGGTGCCTTAAGGGGGAGCCCTTTCTCCTGTCTTCCAGGCAGGGCCAGGATGGTGCACCGCGGGCGTGTGGAGCTCTGTCCCTGGCTATACCCCGTCTCCACCCTCTGACTCACCTCCGCCCACCCCCCTTTGCTGAGGGTCGGAGTGTGTCATCAGGGCTCACAAGGGCTTTTCCTACTGCTGCAAACTCAGAAACCAGGGCTGTGTTCTCCATGATACACACAAGAGCAGGTGCCACTCCACCCTCTGACTCACCTCCGCCCACCCCCCTTTGCTGAGGGTCGGAGTGTGTCATCAGGACTCACAAGGGCTTTTCCTACTGCTGCAAACTCAGAAACTAGGGCTGTGTTCTCCATGATACACACAAGAGCAGGTGCCCAGACGCATTAACCAAGGTTCAGATGTGGTCACTCATCAGGTCCCCGTGGACCCCGTGTGCTAATTGAATAGCACTCTGTGTCCAGACTCCCTGGGGTGCTGGTGAGGCTTCACCCTCAGATCTCATCAGCACCTCCCCCATCGTTTGGGATGGGGCACCGCCTCCCGGGCCCCTCGGAGCCTCTTTCCCCATCAGCAGTTCCCAGGTGCCTGGGGAGGGGTGGCCCGACTGCCGGCTGCTCCTCCTGGAACACGTTGAGAACTGTTATTTGGTTCCATTATCTGTAGTGGAAACATCCTGGTAGCAGAACGTGGCTGCCGCAAAGGTGTGTGCTATGAAAGCACGTCTGTGAGCAAAGGCTTTCGTGGCGGCAGTGTGAGTACACCGAACTTTCTGAGACTTTCTGCCGTTATCCTCTGCTGCCCCTTCATGTGTCTGCAGGTGCAGGAAGCAGGCTTTAAGAACGATTTATGGCAGTGAGCAGTACACCTGCCCGGTAACTTACTTCCTCTGCACGTCGGGAAGAGACAGCCGGCTATCGATTGTAACAGCAGTGCCTCCATCGTGAGCTCTTAAGAATGGTCACTTTTGAGCCAAGAGCCCTGGAAAGCGGATTGGCAGCCCTGAGAGGCGCAGGGGCCGTGCCAGGGCTGGGGACTGAGAGATAGAGCGGGGACAGCATCTCAGAATGGGAAAGAAGCCTCATCCACAGGCTGTGTTCTTTTTTCCCTCTGCAACAAATTACGAAACACAGTCGTGCACCGCAGAGAGACGTTTAGGCCAACATTGGACCGCGTGTACCACGGTGGTGCAGGAGGATTATCGTGGAGCTGAAAGATCCCCTCACTGGTGGTGGTGTAGCTGCCGTAGCTGGGTCGCAGCACAGTTGCTTTACTCGGTCTAGTGCAGCTTAAGTGTGCGGTGGTCGTAAAGGCTGCGGTAGCGTGCAAGGCTGCCCCGGACCTTCACACTCACTCACCGGCTCACCCAGAGCGACTCCCAGGCCGGCAGGCTCCATTCGTCGTACATGCTCTGTACAGGTGCACCATTTTTATCCTTTAATCCTTGCTTTTCCTGCACCTTTTCAAGGTTTAGGCATGTTCAGATACACAGATGTCACCGTTGTGTTGCAGTTGCCTACAGTGTTCAGTCCAGGAGCAGGCCCTGTGGTTTGTAGCACTCTGTGGTGTCCACACAACAACAAAATCACCTAATAACACATTCCCCAGAGCACATCCACGTCAAGTGATGCGCGACTGTGATCACAAAGGATGGAAAAAGGGCACAATGTTTAGAGCCAAATTTTAAAAAGAAAGAAAAGGCAACCTTTTAAACTTACAGGATTACATTAACGTGGTACTTAGAAGAAGTGCTGAGTGTGAATACTAGGAAATAAAGTATTTCTGAAAATAATGATGCAGGCTTTTTGTTTTTACCTCAAGAAGTTAAAAAGAATATTAGTGTAAACTCAAAGAAGAAGAAAGAATCTTGTGAAAGCCACAATTAATATCATTGTACAGGTCACATTAGACAGAAAGAACAAAGCCCAAACTGGCTCTGTAAACCAATTAACATAGAAAAATATCTGGTGGCATGGCTTGAAAACTTCAGAAGACACAGTAATATTAGAGATGAAACTATAGATCAGCACTGATGTAAATTCGCAGGAGAGCGTGATAGACAACTTCACTCAATTATCTGGAGAAAAGACTCGAGGTGAACTTTGGTAGAAGGAGGGAAAAATCTGCCCCGGGCCTTTGTATTTTTTTAAATATGGCTAGTAGAAAATTTAAATCATGCATGTGCCTTGCGTTATATTTCTAATGGGCCTTGCTGGTCTTGACTGAAAACCCAAAAGAATCTACAGAGAAACCGAGGGAGCAGTCAACGCTCCCGTTGCAGGTGACTCAAAACCTAGCAGGACGGGGCCGGGGCCAGGGGCACCACTTGGAACTGACCTACATCTCTTTGTCCTCTGGACACAAAACTCTACCTATTTGAAGTTTTTATTATTGCCAGTAACCAAAACAATGCATCTATTGATCATAAATCCTCTACAACTTTAGAACTGCTCATCCATTTCCCCCCATTTTCCAGCTGATCCCCTAAGGTCGTTTGTCACAAAAGGCACCATTCCTGAGCATCCACCCAGGGGGAGAACCAGACACCATTCTGTGCACCACCAGGACCTGTGTCTTACTTGTCACTGAGCCTCCCCTGTAATGCTCCTGGCTCTGCCATTGTCCTGACTGCATGTCCCTCCAGGTGTCCATCCTCACTCCCGAGCTGTAGGCAGCAGCACTGGCCCCTCCCCACAGAGCCCTGACCTAGACACATGGCGGCAGCTGGTCCTGCAGCCTTGGCCCTGCCCTGGGTGAGGCCTGGGCTGGGCTGAGCTTCCGCCCTTTCACCAGCCCAGGTCTCCTGGGGCTGGAAGGTCACCCCTGAATCCATCTTCTCTGTGGTCCTAGGTCCAGCCTTGCAAGCTCCATACCAACCACCCCACCACTTTGCAGATGGCTGGGGCAGCATAAGCTTCGGGCCCACGTCAGCAATCTCAGAGGGGGCAGGGAGGGCAGGATGACGGCACCGGGGAAGCTGGGGGTGGGGGCCATGGTTCTGCATCTCAGGTGCAGTGCTGCCTAGTGGGGTGCACTGTCTGGGTCAGAGCCGTATTGAATTTGCCTGTCATCCCCAGGCTGTCCCCTCAGTGTCTCTGGTAAGGTGGCAGCTCCCCTGGCTCTCTGCCCTGCAGGACACACAGGGTTCAGGCAGGTCTGGGGTGCCCAGCGCCGTCTCCCAGGGCTGCTTCCCCAAGAGGTGTCCATGCAGAGAGTGGAGCGGAGCTGGTGCCTGGACACAGAACCCTGGAATGACGCCACCCTGTCTCTCCAGGTGGCCTTCATGACGCTGACACTGTTCCCCATCCGGCTCCTGTTTGCCGCCTTCATGATGCTGCTCGCCTGGCCCTTTGCACTAGTCGCCTCGCTGGGACCTGCCGACAAGGAACCTGAGCAGCCCCTGGCCTTGTGGCGGAAGTAAGTCACTCATTTGTGGGTGTTCTGGGTGAGTGGGGGTGTCACACAGCCAAACGGCTGATTCCATCCTCATGGTGTCTTCGTGTCTGTCCAGCGTGGACCTGCCCATCTTGCCCTTCCCAGCCCAGTGTCCCTGGGGCTGCCCTCTCCCAGTGGGGACACTGCCATCCTCCTGTTTCCACATCCTGAGCACAGAGATCCCCCCACCATGGCCTCCTCTGCTCCAGAACCTGCTGGGGCTGCTTGTTGCCTGGGACTGAAGTCAAAGCTTCCCAGACCACCCTCATCTGGCTCTGTGACCTGTCCAGCCCTGTTAGCCCTCCCACCTCAAACCCTTGGCTCTAGCTCTGCCGATGGGAGTCCATCCCCACCCCAGGGCCCCTGGGCTGTGCTAACTGAGCTCAGGTGGGTCCCACCCCAACAGCCCCCATACAGAGGTACCTGGATCTCGTATGGGTGCTGGGGGAAGGGGGCGTCTTCCAGCTGTAAGTGCAGCAGCTCTGTTGGGAACCACCTCTGGGGCAGACGGCCACTGGGCATCACCTACTGGCCTGGTTTAATTTAAAGTGGGCTAAGTGTGAACTGCTTCTCACACCTTCAAAGTCCAGTGACTTTACATAAAAATCCGTGTCCGGCCAGTCTTGGCAAAGAGGTGCTTCTGGCTCCGATTGGCTGGAGCCAGGCACGGCCCAGCCCTCGGAAGCTGCGTGTTGCCCCCTGGCGCCGTCTCTGCAGGGCTGAGTTTCCTCCTTGCTCTGTAGACTGAATCTGTTTGTTGCTTTTAAGCACTGACTACAAATAAGCCACGGCTATCTGTAGATGGAT